TTGGTCTTTATGATGTTCCTCCAGCGCTGGAGCATAAGAGAGAAAAAAAGCTGCAGGAATTGGTATAACAGCTTTTTAACTAGCCGCTGGATCGCTTTTACAATCAGCAGGAGGTGACGTGTTATTTCCCACCCTGTCACCTTCCACGGCTTTCTCAGGCTGTCCTGTCCAATCCCACCGCCGGCTGATCATAGAAGTGAACAAAGACCGTAAATATTTTTGCTATGGGGCAGGAAGTGAAGGGCAATCTCCCCATTAGGACATAGAGGGCAAAAATAAACCTTACAGGGGTTCTAACTCTCCCTGTATTCTATCTACAATGGGGGGGGGGGGGGGGGGGGGGTTTCCTATAGTTCTATTTTAACATAGTTCACACCTTTACAGTGCAGCCATATGGAACGCCTCAAAATGCACTGGGATGCACATGTCCTCAGTTGTCGTCAATTGAAATGAAGAAAAAAAAAAACAGCAAAAAAAGTGCACCCACACGCACCAAAAATGCAGAAATATATCGGAAAAAAAGCAGAAATTAAGGAGTGAATCACTGGATTCAGGTGTTCCAATCCCCTCCATGGACACAGGTGTATACAGTCAAGCCCCTAGGCATGCAGACTGCTTCTACAAACATTGGTGAAAGAATGGGTCGCTCTCAGGAGCTCAGTGACTCCAAGCGTGGTCCCGTGATAGGTTGTCTCCTGTGCAATAAGTCCATCCGTGACATTTCCTGGCTACTAAATATTCCACGCTCAACTGTTAGTGGGATTATAACAAAGTGGAAGCAACTGGGAACAACAGCAAACTCAGCCACCAAGTGGTAGGCCACGTCACATGACAGAGCGGGGTCAGTGCATGCTGAAGCGCACAGTGCGCAGAAGTCGCCAACTGTCTGCAGAGTCAATAGCTAAAGACCTCCAAACTTGGTGTGGCCTTCAGTTTAGCACAACAGTAGTGCGAGAGCGCTTCATGGAATGGGTTTCCATGGCCGAGCAGCTGCATCCAAGCCTTACATCACCAAGTGCATTGCAAAGTGTCGGATGCAGTGGTGTAAAGCATGCCGCCACTGGACTCGAGCACTGGAGATGTGTTCCCTTGAGTGACCAACCACGCTTCTCTGTCTGGCAATCCGATGGACATGTCTACACTTGGCACAATGCAGTCAGGCAAGTTCCGCCAAACCCAAAGTTTGGTGGAGGGGGGATTATGGTGAGGGGTTGTTCTTCAGGGGTTGGGCTTGGCCCCCTAGTTCCAGTGAAGGGAACTCTTAAGGCGTCAGCATACCAAGACATTTTGGACAAGTTCATGCTCCCAACTTTTGTGGGAAGAGTTTGGGGACGGCCCCTTCCTGTTCCAACATGACTGCACACCAGTGCACAAAGCAAGGTCCTTAAAGACATGGAGGAGCCAGTTTGGGGTGGAGGAACTTGACTGGCCTGCACAGAGTCCTGACCTCAACCCCATAGAACACCTTTGGGATGAATTAGAGCGGAGACTGTGAGCCAGGCCAATAAAGTTCATGTGCGTGGAAAGGCAGGTGGGCTGGTTACTGCGGGCAATATAGTGTGTGTATGTATGTATGTAAGTGTGTGTGTGTGTGCGTGTGTGTGTGTATATGTAAGTAAGTGTGTGTGCGTGTGTGTGTGTATATGTGTATATGTGTGTGTGTATATATATATATATATATATATATATATATATGTGTGTGTGTGTATGTATGTATATCCCCAATGATAAACAAATAAACAAGTGTTCTCTTATTGGGCAAAATGGAGAAGCAGAGATATTTATGTCTTCACATCCAGTCAGAGAATGCCTTGTGTTCATTGAAAAAAATACAAGGCGCTCTGTGAATGTCTATGCCGAAAGAATGATCCCTGAGGTTACAATGCAGAAGGGAAGTCTCTCGGCACAGGACCCCAGAAAAAAAACTAGTGGGTTTCCGGAGGAGTTTTTTTAGCTGTAAAAACGCGGCAAACAGGCGTATTTGGGTTTTTTTTTTTGTTTTTTCTTCATAGCAAAAATATTTAGTTTTGTGTCTGAAAAAAATAAAATAAAAAGTGACTAAACGCTAATGCAAAAATGCTAAAAACCGCTGAAAAACGTGGTTTTTAACGCGACTTTACACAGTTAACATTACCAGCGTTATTAAAACGCCCCGTGTACATGGGGACTAAGGATTGAAGTTTGCACATTGCTATTTACATCAATGAATAGAAGTAGCGTCTATACCATGAATCGGAAAAAAAATAAAATATTTGTGGGTTTTTTTTTTTTTTTTTTTCATGGCCGCCTAGCGTCTCCCAGTGTGGTCCCGAGTGTCAGTGACCTTGAGCGAGGTCAGAAATGAAGTCTGGCAATCACAATGCAACATTTTCATTTATTTCTTCAGATTGTGGCTGTTGTGGGCAGAGGACGTCATTGCAATAGTTTCAGGTCACCTTGCTGTGGAGGATACATTCTCCTGCAAGCTCTGATGCCAGCGCTGGTACGTGAACCGTGAATGCGGTCGTCTCGGAATGTACCTGTCATGATATGGCAGCATCCACTGTGCCGTTCGTTTTTCTCAAGGATAAAGCATGCGTGCCGCTGCACCTGCACAAAGGGCACGTTACCATGTTACTCGGCTCACATGTGGTTTAAAGCTGTTAATTCCTGTTTCGTTCTTTTATCTCTTACCAGAATACACTTGCAGATGATATTTTTTTTTTTTTTTCGAAGACTTTCATTCCAGTAAAATGAAACATATTGCTGGTTTTTTCCCTTTTCATTGTTTTTTCTTGATCTCTGGGGTGCATCGTTATAGGGGAAGGTGATGGGCATGGCAAGGAGAGAATTACGTGTCTGCTGTGTGCTTTCATTTCGTGTCAGTTATCGTCGTATTAACTATCACAGGAGAAAGTTTTATTCATAATTTGTTTTTTTTTTTGTTTTTTTTTAAAAGCTGTAAAAGTGACACTAAACTCTGGTTTAACTCTCTTCGCTGCCAGAGCAGTTTTTGCATATTTTTTGCACACATTAAAGATAAAAAAAATCATTTTAGGCCTGAAGTTTCCACAAAACCCCAATCGTATATTTTCTGAAAGTAGACATCCCTGCTGCTTGTGCACCTTTTTCTTCCACACAACTTTCTATTAATGTGCTTTGATACAGCACTTTGGGAACATCCAACTTCTTTTGCAATTACCTTTTGAGGCTTTCCCTCCTTATGGAGGGGGTGTCAATGATGGTTTTCTGCACAACTGACAGGTCAGCAGTCTTTCCCATGATTGTGATTCCTACTGAACCAGACTGAGAGACCATTTAAAGGCTCAGGAACCGTTTGCAGGTGTTATGGCTTAATTAGCTGATTAGAGTGGGACACTTTGAGCCGAGAATATTCCACCTTTTCACAATATTCTCATTTTCTGAGATTGTGGATTTGGGGTTTTCATGAGCTGTAAGCCATAATCATCACAATGATGACAAATCACGGCTTGAACTATCTTGCTTTGCATGTAATGAGTCTCATATATTAGTTTCACCTTTTAAGTTGCTGCACTGAAATAAATGAACTTTTGCACCATATTCTAATTTTTCGAGTTTCACCTGTAGAGTAGTGTTTCTCAACCTTTTTTCGGTCAAGGAATTCTAAAATGGGGTGCCTGAAGACTGTCCACAATTTTAAAAGGGCACCCCATTTTAAAATGTGAAAAACTATTCTAATAGTTTTATATAACGCTGCAACATCCACACATGTAGGACACCCAACATTAGAGGGGATTTATTCTTCCACAGCAAGTACACTTCTGCACCCTGGTACTGACTAGTATTCCAGTGTTTTTCTTCTCCCTCAGTTTTTCTCCATCACTGAGATAATGTGACCCCAGCACTGATGGAGTGGGGTGGGGGAGGGTCAAACTAGGATGCTGTGCAGGCAGCTCACATCCTCCTTATCAACGGATGATGTTATTGGTTGTCAGGACGCTGGCGGCTAGAAGGTCGTAATGGCACCCAATGAAAACCTGTGGCTTTGTGTTACTAAAAGGTGGGCTTGTTCCACCCACTGGCTTGTATACAAGTTTTGGTAAATTTTTAGAACTTTTGCCAAGACACCCCTGAAGAAACCTCAAGGCACCCCAGGGTGCCTAGGCACCCTGGTTGAGAGAGGCTGAAGTCCTTTGGGCTTCACTTCCCCTGTCAGTGATGCTCAGCGATCGCCAGGTGCCGATGGGGAATCTCCATTCAGGACCCGGCTATCAACATCTGTAGCCGTCAGTGGCGGTGTGGGCAGGGCGGTGCACACGCCCCCTACCTGGAAACGCTAAATCACGTGTGTATATATAATATTTTTTTTTCCCCCTAAATACCCTTTTATTTATTTCCTTTTTTAGCGATCACATGACTTCTGTTCTCAGGCTTAGAGAGCTGGGGGTGGAGACTGCAGGAGAGGGTGTGTCAGCAGCAGGCAGTGGAACAGCAGTACACTGATCTCCACAGTGATTAGCTGTGCAGGGGGATGTCAGCACAAGTCTGACTACACTAATAAAAACAGCCATAGACAATCTGATCTGAGAAAGGTACAAAATGGTACCAAACAGAACAAAAATTTATCTTTGTTTTCTTTGTGTCAGAATGCTGAATACCCTCAGTATTCAATTCAGTTTACCCCACAGCCTTGGAATCCCTTTCACAAGGGCTTTCTGCTCAGATCCACCTGTCCATTTTTCAGGAGGACCTGATCTGAAGCTCCATGTAAGTCTATGGGCAGGCAGATGTAATTGGACATGCGACTGTTTGTTTACTTCTGCTTACCTCTGTCCAAAAATAAAATGGAAAAGTACTGCATCCTTTTACATTTGTCAAGACATAAATGTGAGTGATTGAAGGAAGCCTGACGTAAATGGGTGCAAATCCATTTTCATTTGTCCCCCATGATATCTGTCCTGTTTTATGCTCTGATTCTATTCAGATTCCTGGCTGTACAGACTGGACACAGCCCATGTGATGGGACCCTTAGTAGTTGGTTGAGGTGGGGTGGTTAGAATTCATTGATTGCAAACATGAAGAGCAGAAGATATCTGGTGGGGCAATCGGACTATACTAGTATGTTCTCAGTGTAGTTCCCATCTAACTGCTAGAACAGACTTTCTCAACAGAGGAATCCTTGAAATAACCTTTTGGTCTCAGGGAACCCATGGCAATAATTGCTTTATCTACAACTCGTGATACATTAGTGCGATGGTCAATGGGAATAATGTCCCTTACATTGGTGATCAGTGGGAAGAATGTCCTTACATTGGTGGTCAGTGGGAAGAATGTCTTACATTGGGGGTCAGTGGGAAGAATGCTCCTTACATTGGTGGTCAGTGGGAAGAATGCCCCTTACATTGGTGGTCAGTGGGAAGAATGCTCCTTACATTCAAATGACTGTAAGTCTGTCTGGCGCTGGGCAAAAAACAAGAACATCTGCCTGGTATATGCACAATTACTTGTGTTTTGTCTCAACGGATACCTGTTGATCCTGCAAGAAATCCACTGACCTTCTAACTTGTAGCGAGCTGACAACTCTGCCTCCGCTGCATTGAAATGTTAAGCAGTGCTGTCAGACCAGCTGTACTACAGAACACCCCACCCTTATGTTATGGAGAGGGAGGAATGTGTAGTCTAGCAGAAAGGCAGGGTTGGTACCACTGTTTGGGACTTTGGTGCTGCAGAGTCATCTTCATTTTGCAGATAGGAAAAAAGGTACCGATAACACACAATGTTACCGCAATTTTAGGACAGCACAGTGGCTAAATGGTTAGCACTTCCGCCTGGCAGTACTCGGGTCGTTGGTTCGAATCCCAACCACGGGCATATCTGCCTGGAGTTTGCATGTTCTCCCTGTGCCTGCGTGGGTTTCCTCCGGGTACTCCGGTTTCCTGCCCACACCCCAAAGACATGCTGGTAGGTGAATTGGATCCTGTCTATATTGTCCCTAGTATGTGTATGTATGAATGTGAGTTAGGGACCTTAGATTGTACACTCCTTGAGGGTTAGGGACTGATGTGAATGTACAATATATATGTAAAGTGCTGCGTAAATTGACGACATTTTACCAACAATTTTTTGCTGCAAATTTTTTTTTTTTTCCTCGATTTTTGCCACATTTAGGGTGCTTTTTTCCATAGGTCATGTGACTAAACAAAACACACGTGTGCCTTTTTTGTGTGTTTTCAATGTATTTCAGGCCTGATTCACACCAATGCAGTTTGCGTTTTTGTTTTGAAGTGCGTTTTGCGTTTTTGCACCCAGGTTTTTGATGCATTCTTAAAGTGTTCTTTTGAATTTTTTTTGCCAACATTTTGCTGGGCAGATTAAAAATGCAAAACATCAAAAACACAACACTTGCGTTTTGTGCTGCTTTTCGAATGCACTTCAGGCCTGGTTCACGCCAGTGCAGCTTGTGTTTTTGTCTGTTTTGCGTTTTTGCATGCACGTTTTTGACATGAGTTTTGATGTGTTTTGAGCAGAAAAACACAAAATGCGGCAAACTCGTGAAAACACACTACATGCGTTTTCTGCAACACCTCCTTTGAAATCTATTGAACCAAAATGCAACATTTTTAAGTTTTTAAACAAGTTCCTGACCCTTTCCAAAAATGCAGCAGCTCAAAGTCATAGATGTGAACATGTCCCGTAGGAAACCATGCTAAATGGATGGAATGGGGACACAGCCCTAAAAAATGCACTTCTGGGAGGCACTGTATGTAACCATACATAGCCACAGTGTGTAGGGAATCACATGCCAACGTCCAATAGTTAAAAAAGTTAACAAAACCGCTTCTACATTTAGCTGAATTGTACATTTGCCTGTTTGACGGAAGCAGCTGTTTAAAAGTCAAAAAAAAAAAAAAAAATTCAACATTTGCATTCTGCACCGTTCAATGTCACAGCTCCAAGATGTGTGCTCCATCCCCGCACTTCTAACATAAAATCATTAAATATGGCGGACACATGTAAGCAGTAGACATATCAATATTACAGCCGTACAACACAAAGTATACGGAGATACTCTGGGCCCCGACAGTTGCCTCTATATACAGGCACAGGGAGTGCGGACCACAAAAGCAAATGCGTCTCTCCCCGCCAATACAAGTCTTGCCAAGACCGGCCAACCATGTCGTCGGAATATTTCACTAATAAGCCATGTTATCACACAGAATACACATGAATGGCGGCTAAACATGCTAACACTTGCTTCAAAAAGAACACCTATTCAGTAATGCAGAGCAGCAGGCAAAGGCTGCAGGAACTGGATGCAGTCCAATTTGAAAGTATATGTCTGGGCAAAATTAATAAATAAATTGGTGGTGCACCAAAATGAAAATTCTTAGACCGGAACCGAAAATTCAGGATGCATTTGGCGAAAACCAAAATGGACAGTTTTTGAATAAAAAAAAAAAAAACAAAAAAACACACACACACACACATATACACACTCAACTTTTTAATTCTGTATTCATTGTGAGTACCTTTTCGGCCGATAGGCTGCTTTCACGCTGAGCAGTTTGTGCCGTGCTTTTGCATTAAAAAAAAAAAAAAAAAGAAAAGAGGCACAAGAAAAGTTCAAGAAAATGTGTGTCTTCACACTGGTCGTTGTGCTTCTCCCGCTTGCCTCCATTTTTTTTGTATATTTGGTGAGTTAGGAAAAAAAAATGCACCAAAAACACATCTCCCCGTTTTTGAAGTTTTTGTTTTGGTTTCTTTGTATGTATGGATTGCATGGGTTGTTACCGACATGTGGTGAGCATTTCATGTCAATAGCACCTTTAGAAATATATTTACCGAGAAAAAATTGTGACGCGTTCAATTTTTCCTGGTGTGTGTGTGTGTGTGTGTGTGTGTGTGTGTGTGTGTGTGTGTATTCTCTCAGTATAAACCAGCGCAAAACACAAGTGTTACAATAATAAGTGAATATAAAATTATTTTATAAATAGTTTTTAAAGTGCAGTGATAAATGTAAGTGACCACAAACCTGTGACATATAAAAATTAAAAATTAAAAAAAAATTTCATAAATCAAAAGTCCAGTGATCCCCAAGAAAACTTTCTAAAAAATAAACTGCTTCAAATAATTCTTCCACCATCCACCAGTGCCGAAACCAACATAAACCGCACTCACCAGATAATGGTGAGTAAAAACACCTTTCAGGATTATTTAGGGCTCCTGGACCCCCTTTGAGGACTCCTCTATTTTCCACCTCAGATCTAGGGTATTTCTCCACTCGTCTCCTCGCCAAATCACCAAGTTCCAAAAAGGAGAAAAAGACTAATAGTGTAATACTGTTATACCCCTTCTTAGTTATTTAAAGCCAAACCACTCACATTTTATAGGATAAAAACCAGCATTTATTTAAGGACATCAATCGAATTTTCAAACAGCAAAACAAATTTCCACAGCTCCTAGGAACTCACAGCCTTGTGTACAGCAGGATGACAGCCTCCATAAAGAACAAACTTCCTCCACTAGTCAAAATGGCCGCCTGGAACGCATCCCTTGGCGGGCGTTCCACTCACCGGAAATGACGTCGGACGTTCGGGAGACCAACCGGAAATACGTCAACGCGTTTCGCCCCACCCACAGGGCGTTCTCAATGTGCATATATATATATATATGTGTGTGTGTGTGTGTGTGTGTGTGTGTGTGTGTATGTATATATATATATATAATATTTATTTTTTTAAACTGTCCATTTAGGTTTTTGGTTTTGGTCCAGAATTTTCATTTCAGTGTACCACGAATTTAAAATCTCAAGTCAAAAAATGTTATTATGGTAACTTACTCTCCATAAACTCAACCGCCAACTAATCGGGGACAGAAAGAAAGAAAAAGGGGGAGGCAAATAATATCTCTCCTCTCCCCATTTTTACCTTTTTATTTTCATCTGGAAGTCTTTCGGAACCAGCTGAAAAACCTTTTTAGCTCAAAAAAATGAATACAGTCACCCCCTTGAAGGACCAGTAATCTACAATATGTTGGTTTTAGATATCGTTTTCATTCAAAGGTTTAAAACTACTGAAAGGTCCCTTTTTTAGATGACTGGTCTATAGCAAATGGACTTTGCCTGATACTTGACTATCAGTGGCACCTTCTCTTAAATACTTTGTCAGTTGGAGAACATTCATATTATAAACCAAATCATGATCTTTGTTTACACCACACAAGTACAGCCAAATGCGAGGTCTTGCTTTTAAGTTAGAAATGGTAATTATATTTATGTGAAGCAAGCTGTTGAACTTTGGCAACTGTCCACATTCCAGATTCTTGCTGTCATAGGTGTCAAGGTCTTGACAAATGTTCCCTTTACTGTTCCTAGATGCCACTGACCACACAAGACTAAATCCAGAGCACTTACATCAGACAACAGGCCTTCACCGAGGAATGTGACTAGAGACAATATTTCATTCGTATTTCGATGTACTCACTTTGGTTACATTTAATACATAAGATCTATTGAGAGTTCTTGCTCCTTCCCCTGAATTTCTTTCCATTACATCTGAACAACTTTTGTTTTACCTATACAGTTAAAGATTTTTTAGGGCAGTCATTCTCCATCAGGGTTCTGTAGAACCTTAGGCTTCCTCCATAGGTTGCTAGGGGTTCCTTAAGTGGGGCTAACTGACCTCCCAGCTAATGGTCTATGCACAGTTCCAGGGCCAATGCTAGTGAACTGGTTTTAGCAGGGGTTGCCCAAGACTTGAAAATTATTTCAAGGGTTACTCTAAGACAGGGTTTCTCAACCAGGCTTCCATGGAACCCTAGAGTTCCTCCAGGGGTTGCTGGGGCTACGAGGCAGAAATTGCTCATTGCTCAAGGAAGCCCCAGCAACCCCTAGCGGAATCCTAGCGTTCCATGGAAGCCTGGTTGAGAAACCCTGTCTTAGAGGAAAATTATTTCAAGGGATACTTTAAGACAGGGTTTCTCAACCAGGCTTCCATGGAACGCTAGGATTTCTCCAGGGGTTGCTGGGGCTTCCTTGAGCAATTTCTGCATCGTAGATAAGTTTGCACTGACACCATTGATCGTTTTAGCTATCTGTAAGGGGTTCATTCTTCCCAATGACCGCAGTGTAGGGAGCATTCTTCCCACTTAACTGGAGCTAACTGACCTCCCAGCTCATGGTGTATGCACAGGTCCAGGGCCAAGACCTGTGCATACACCATTAGCTGGGAGTTTAGTTAGCCCCAGTTAAGTTGGAAGAATGCTCCCAGCTAATGGTGTATGCACAGGTCCAGGGCCAATGCTAGTGAACTGGTTTTAGCAGGGGTTCCCAAGACTTGAAAATTATTTCAAGGGTTAAAGTCTTGGGGAACCCCTGCTAAAACCAGTTCACTGGCATTGGCCCTGGACCTGTGCATACACCATTAGCTGGGAGG